CCCTTTAATAAAAGACTTGAACTGACACATCTTAGCTGAGTGTTAGTATCTACATATCCAAAGAGGATTACTGTAAAATAGGTGACCTGTGGCTTACAAAAACATATTTCTCTGCGCAAGTAAAAATGTTATTTTTCAAGTCACTTGCCTTTTGATGTTTTGTTTATGTTCAGATTTTCTTGAAAAGTACTTAAGACTATTTACAGAAATAACTAAATATAAACAAAAAAAAGTGACTGGGTTTATACTGTTCTTGTATATAGCTGAAGAAAGTATTTCTCCGAATTAGGGGGCTTTGAAGAGATAAAAATTAAAGTTTTAAACTTGTCTGGGATTACCAGTTTTATTGGAATAAACTCATGGCAGAAGTAATTTGTATGGAAAGCACAAGAAATGTGGGAAGTAGAAGAAAACGTTCATGTTGAGTAGTTGTATCGGCCCTTATTGTGCAAATGCAAAAATGTCCTTACATGCTAATATGTGAAACTAGGTAGAAGGCAAAATAGTTCAACTGATGTCTTGCCTTTATTTCATCTGTAGCTTACACAGCGGAGAAGTCGTGGCTGGAGTGACGATGTTTCTAGCCAAAAAAATAGTATTTGGAGTAGAGACTACAGATTTGGCAGTAATACAGATACTGTTCCTCACAAAATGCATTTGCCAGAGAAAGTAACAACCAAAGGCACTGAGAAGATAATTAGTATCAAAGGGCTGAAATTTTCAGGCAAAGAGCTCTCAGCAAAACGGCCAAGAAACGGTATGTTTGTCTAAAGAGAATTAACATCGAAGAGGGCAATGGGAATGCTCTTGTCTTTGACTTAATAGAAATAGAGTTAGGCTTCTAAACCTCTCATCTGTGTCTTTATGTATCTGTTCTCAACAAGCTGCAAGGCTGCAGAGCCACGATTAAAGCCTATGTAACAATTTCATGTTTGTCAGCAAACTTACAGCAATGTTTGTTTACTTTCTTTTATTGGTTATGAAAACTTATCCTTTTTGATGGTGGATATTTTTAATATAATTTGTTCTATTTTTAGAAATTTTTGGTTTTGATACCTATTTTGCAATGGCTTGTGAAGAAACAAAAATAGTCTATCCTCTATAGAATAAGACTTGGACAGACAAATTTTGAAAAATATTTTCTGTACTCTTCTGCTGCCTGTGTCCCATGCCTGGTACTCCTCAGTCTGACTTTCTTGAGATCTAATAGATCTAATAGATCTCAAGATCTATGTGCTATCCTGCATCTGCTACGTGACCTAAATTATGTGCTGCAATAACATATAGGCTTCTAATATAAGGGGCATTTCTTTGTTCATATTATGTTCTATCTGATAAACACTTTCTCTGCTTCCTCTCTTTCTGACTAAGCTACCAGGTTTCCTTTTTTGCCTTTGTTTTTGGTATATTCCTAGTCCTTGATTTATCAAAAGTAATATTTAATTTACTATTTTTTTATCCTTCAAATTTAAGTTTGCTTTCAAAGTGTTGCAATACGATTTTGTACTTTTTTTTTCTGTCTTTTTAATTCTGATCTGTTATGTTTTCACTTGACCTACCTCTTCATAGAAAGTAACTTTCAGGCTATGTACTAGAAAAGAATTGTGTTAAAGTTTTGAGCTGTAACATTTAGAATGTCCTTATTAGATCCTACTAATATTTTTAAGCCTGTGAGGATAAGCATGAAATATTCAGTTCTTTCATGACTAGTAAGTCTAGCACATACTTCTACCTTAATGTCTGAATCTTCCTTAGATTTAGAAGAACTCTCAGATGGAGACCTGCTGAGCCAATATTCATTTTCAAAAGCCAAAAAAGCCAGGAAGGAGAGTGTTGAAGATTGTGAACCACAAAAATCTGTCTCTGCAATGCAAAGCATCGAGTCCTCAGAGACTCCTGTCAGTAAGGAAAGCTCCAACTCCCTGCCCGGAGTTAGAAATAAATTTGCTTCCTTTCTGCAAAGAAAAAACAAAGAGCGAGATGCAGTTGTTGTTCCAGGAACAAGAAGCAGGTATGTTTGCACCACTTTCTTCTAAGTACCAAGATAATATTAAATATATCATAGTGAGTGTGCAATAATTTATTTTCATTAGTGGTTTATAGTATAAAAGTATACGATGGGGCAACAAATAATTTGCAAAACAATTTAGGTGATATTTTATCTTGTGATTTAACAATTTAAGCTTGGGTTTTGCTTTGTTTTCCCTGAGGTCAATCATTTCTCCTCGTAAGCACGAGCTTTGCACTGACTAAGGTTATATTACTGAGCTGTTGCTGAGTTTGCTTACCTGTGAATATTTGTGAAAATGCGACACTTAAACAAAATCTGCCAAAGTCAGATAAAGCTTGTTTGTGGTAAAGCCAAACCGTGGTCATACAGTATGCCAAATATCTATTTTCTTTTTCTTAACCCATTTCATTCAATTTTTGCACTTGATGTCTGCAATCAGCACTTTGGGAAGCAGGATGTTATGGCCAAAGCTAGTTAATTTAGTTTGACAAATTATTATTACACTACTATGTCTTCTGTTGTATACTTTTTATCATAAGCATCCTGAATATTAGAAGTTTTTTGAGAGCTATCATTTTCCTGGAAAATCTTTGATGTTGTTTAGCTCAGGAAGGTACAAGTGAAAGCTGAGAGTGGGTTATGCTGCATCAGAAATTGAGTTGTCAGTGATGGTTGCATTTTCTGCAAAGCAGTGCACAGTTTCATAAAAAAACTTTATCGTAATTGCTCCTAGGGGCTGCTGCTGTAATGTAGAAAGAGCTGGATATGGTCTTATTTTCCTTGCTGAGAACACTGAAGGGTTCCATAGCAATATAGCTTTTTGACAATTAATGAATCCACCCTTGCATTCTGTAGGATACCTAGATACTTCTGTTTTTCAGTGAAAAACTTACTAGTATTGTCAGTCAATGGCTGATGTATTTACCAATGGTTTTCCCATATATTGAAATATAAAATGGCTTTACTGTTATTTTGTTTTAAAGTTAAATGCCTTCATGACAGTCTAGAGGATTAAGACCTTAGTGGCTTGGCCATTGTCAAAACAATTTGTGTCTGCAAAAGTAGTTCAAAAATCTATCTGATGGGTACAAAACTATTATTGGATTTTGGAGATGAAATACTCGCACTTTTTTCTCTCTTGCCTTCACCTATATCATACTTTGCTCTTTCTTTTTTTTAGGTTTTTCTGCAATGCTACAGATACACTTGATTTTCGATCAAAGACAGATGATGGCCAATTCTCTCAAAATGTGGAGAGGGATTGCCAGAAAGAGGAAATAAAACATGTAGTAGAAAATGTTTCTCAGTCTTCAGAAACTGAAAAACCTCCACAGACTACCCTATCCCTTCCTGGAGAAACACAGAAAAGTTGTTTCCAGTGGTCTGGCAGCTTTGAAAATGGTTCAGCAAACCCTGGTCCATCTCATACCGCGTTGGCACAGCAGCTTCCCCAACAGCAGGGCAACTACGTGGCATCCCAGGAAGATAAGATAAATAAGATGCAAACAGATAGTGGGGCACCATGTGGTGAATCAGATGAAGGATCTTCTCCTATAGCAGACCTGGAATGTTCCTCACAGTCTCAGGTGTCTTGCAAGCTCTCAGAAAGCAGTTTGGAGTCTTCAGAAATGTCACCAGTATCTAACAATTCGCCTGCAGAAGTAAGAAAATGCCCCTGTTTCAGCATTTGCTTTCACCTTTCACTGTCTAAGAAATTAGTCATCAAAGTCTTGCCTTTAAAATGATATCCTGCAGATAATAGAACTTCTAACAAAACATAACTGTGTTTAATATAGCTGTGTAGCATTAATTGATTTACTAGCTTAAAATCAAGCCTTCCAGTTTCTACTGACAGCAGTGGAAAGACTGGAGGAAAAAACAAAAAAGGATTACATCAAAACTGGTAGCCTAACTTTTGTTCTCATTCTTCTTGGATATGCTTACAGAAATATTGAGAATACTGTGTTATAAATGTAAATATATAAAATTATATTGTATAAACTGTTTTAAAATCAACTGACTTCTTTTTTCCTTGATGAAGGAATCTGACTTCAGTCTGAAGCCAGCTGATAGTCCATGCACTCAGAACTCTCCGATATTTTCTGCTGTACACATCGAGAAGAAGAATATGCTTCCAAAGACCAAGGTAAGAATTCCTTTAATACTAAGTCCGAGATCTACTGAACAATGAAAATCAGTATTTGTGTTTTCTTTGGTTTTGTTTAGTATGCTACTTCGCTCTAAACTTACAGTGGAAAATTTTTAAGCATGTGCATATGTTGAACAGGAAAGTAATTTTCTTTCTTGCCATCTGCTTCAAAACCAAGATGGACCTTAGCCCCCTATGGCTGGCAAGGTTGCAAATTGCTTTGGGATTTTGTACGTTCAATGTCAATTCATGAAGTAAAGCTAAAGCCAAAAACGTCTTTTAATTTTTCTCCACCAGTTTTGCTGTCTTTTCCTCTTTGAATGGAAAAACGGCATTTAAACTTCTAAAGTGAGAGCAGTTTTAATCAGTCTTTCATTTAAGTTGCTAGCTTTGTTAGGCACTAGAGCTGCATGGAAGAGCTGTCTGTTTTCTTCAGAGCTCACCTCTTAGCCAGACCCCCCTTCCTGTGGGTAGGGCCTGTCTTCTACGTGCTTTCTTAGATGTCTAAGCCTGTGGGTAGGGCCTGCCTTCTACGTGCTTTCTTAGATGTCTAAGAGTGGCTAAACTCATGTCGTGTTCCCTGTCACTGTGACATTGGTAAGAGCTCTAACAATCTGTCCAATTCACCAAACTTCTAAGGCCTTAACATATGGAGTCCTCTGACTTCCTTGTACTGGCTAAAAGATTCATACCTAAAGGAGTATTCCTATTGCCTATTCCTTGCACGGATGCCCTTGCTAGCTTGGTTTAAGAGGAGGAAGCTTAAAAAGCTAAAGCTTTTTTGTCAGAATAGAACTCTGTGTGTGCTATAGAACAATAGTGACCTCTTCTGGTTGTTTTAACTTTCATGTTAAGAAGCTGGAATTTCTAACTTTGTTCTTTAATAACTGAACTATTGCTACCTATTTGCAAGTCTGCTTTTTCATTAGAACTACATTTTGTGTAGTGCTCCTCAACAAGACTAGGCAATGAAATGAAGTCAAAGTGTTCGTTCAGAACTGTATGACTTCCTATTTAAGAAGTTGTTTAATACATTTTAGTTTAAAAATAATTTCTCACCTCAAATGGATTTTGGGTGAAAGTACATATGAAACATGGGGGAATAAACAATATGAAGGCAACGTAGGCATCTTATATAAACAAATCTTCAGGATGCTTGGGGCTCTTCAGAGTATATAAATGCGCTGAAAATCCACCAGCAACAAAGGGTTGTAAAAACTGGGTTTGCTTAAAGGGGCTGCTGGCGGGAGGATCCTGCACAGTTACTTCTTTGGCCATGCATCCCCTGGGAATCCTTCACGTGCCGGCAGTAATGCTCATGACAGGCTGGACCAGGGAACTCGTCTGGCTAAACTAACTTGGCAACAGCAGCAAGTGCCTTGGCTATATCATAACTCAGATGGCATATATACAACTCAGTTATGATGCATAACTCAGCCTACCCAGACTCATGAGTTCTCTTAATTCTGGCACCAGAGAAACCATGGGAGCAAATAGTCAGCACTGAATGTGTGTGGCTGGGGGCAAAAAGGAAAAAGGAAGAAATTTCAGGAAGAAATTCCAGAGGCAAGAAGGCATCCGTCATATATCGGTATTGGAAGGGGCGAGAATATTGATCTGGGCAGCTATATGCCAGTTAGTCTGATGCTGACCCTATAAGACTCTAGGGAGAGTCGGGTTAGGGATGAGAGCATGAAGTATAAAAATCACACTGGCTAGATTAATTACGGGGATTAAGTCATCTCGGAATACTTTTGTGTGCTTGTCGATGTCAAACGTGCAGTGCTGGGAAACCGCTATGCAAATTGTCAGACATTTTTAGTTGTAGAGATAGTTAATAGCTGGAATAAATTTAGTGAATCAGTGTGTTTTGCTTCAGTTGATGTCTTCAAATTTAAGACTGGTTGCCCTTCTAGAAGTCTGTTTGCAACTGCTTTGGCTTCCAGAAAGATATTGCTTGATAAGAAGTTCCAGACAGAGATCCGGGTGACTGATCCTTCAGGTGACAGTACTGGTATTTTCTTGATTCTGTTTAGATTTTGGAAAAATGGAGTCCTTTGTGCCATAGCAGCTTCTCTAAAATATCTGGAAACTGACCCTGAAGAGTTTGCTTTATTGTACTCCATCACATGAACAAATGAGGAAAAATATTCAAGAGATTAAAAAATTACTTTCAAGAGACAAGTGCTTTTATAATCACCTCTGATTGCAATGACACACGGAAACTGATGTAGCAGTTCTTACTTATTATAGAAATTTATTTTTCATCGTATGCTTTCCAGCAGCAGCATTTCTGTTACTTGCAGTTTGTCACTTTAGCCAGTTTCTGATGTAATATTAAAATCCCGCAGGTTCCTGGTTTACGCAAATCCAGTTCTGTAGGGTCACGTATTGTGACAAAGCTTAAGCCACTGATACCAGCTAAAGTAAGTGGATTAAGCAAGAAACTATCACCTGTGCAGAAGAGAAATCTCTGTGATATTGAAAATAAGGTGGGACTGCAAGCCACCATTAGTGAGCTCTGGAAGAACTTCCAGTTTAAAAGGTGAGTTGCTTTAACCTCTTGTATTAAGCTATTTGCTTCTTCCTCTCCGTCACCCCTCCCCATTGCTTCCTCCCTCCTTCTTTGTCTGATCTGGGAAGTGCAGCTGGGCTTTTTCCCCTTTCCTTACTATTCCTTCCGTACCAGTTTAGGGAAAAAAGATGAACACAAAACAGAGTTTTCCCTTCGCAGAGAAAGAAAAACTTTGTGATCTCTTTTTATATATATAATTTAAATTTTAATTCCTGTGAGCTGGAAGAGCCTCTTAACTAATAGCTTAGTTTTGCGTTTTCCGTGTTGTGTGCTGTGCTGAGTCGCCCTGTGAAAGCGATGGGGCTGTTCACATAATGTCCCATTTTCCCGCTGTCAGCGCTACTCTAAAACACTTTTATCCCTAAAATATTAAACTAGTCTGTACAGGCCCCAACTGTGTTGAAAATAGATCTTTACATAATTTAGCTAAGTACCAAATTACTGAATTACTCTATCTGGCCTGACGAATACAAGCACCCTGTAAACTAGGGTCTATTTCAAAGCAGGTTCTATACATGTTTCCTGCGCACAACTAACAGCCTTAAATATCATTTTTTCTGCATACCCTTCTTTAATATCATAAGGAATTTCACTTTTTTCATTGTTTGACATAACCAAATATGTTTTGTGACAAATATACTCCTCCCTTCTAGTTACTTTTATCTTTCTAACCAGGAAATACTCTCAGCTAAAATATATTTAAGTATTTATTTTTAACATAATTTATATAAAAATGATTGTCATTAACATTTTTACATTGCATACAAGATTTTTTTTTGAATTTACATGCTTTCCACATTTGTGGGTGACAGATTATCGGATATGTTCTGCTTCCAGAAATGAGAATTAATTGATGGAATATTTGTTAGCTAAAGTCTTTGAGAGATCTTTTTGCATATCATAAAATGCCATTGTTTACTATTGTGCGTACAGATAATCCTTCAAGTTTAAACCTTGAAGAATTTTTCAGAAAACTTCAAGTTAGCCAATGATCTGCTTTTTATCTCAAAGAAATACGTGTATATGTATTTTAACTTACACTGCTTCTACTTGGGCCCGAGTACATGGTGGCAAAGCTTTCTCAGAGAAAAGCCCTTTCAAAGAGCAAGTAACAGTGTTTGAGTATCTCTCTCTCTTGGTGTCAAGTTAGGAGTGCCTGAGCAGGGTTGTGCAGAAGGAGGCCACCCGTGTGTTTTGATTCATGCAAGCACAGGCAGACAGGACAGAGGGGAGATGGTACCACATTCCTTTTCTCTGCCGATGCCTGCAAGGTTTTTCTCCCAACAATGATGGGAGCAAATCCATCCAATTTTTGCTGCACTATGATTGTTGAATATACTTATTTTTACATAATTAATGTAGTTGCTAATTAGCTCTTAGGGGATTTTTTCCTTGATTGGTTTCACAAAAGGATTTTTCCTATTGCAATGTCTTGCTCAGCTGTGAGTGTTCTGCTGTGCAGTCCCCACCTCCTGCATTTCTGATGCAAAGCTATTAGCTCCCAGTTGTTCACAGGACAACTGGAACGGAGTTGAAGTAATTTTCCAAGTTATTTAGCACTAGCGAAGCTGAGTTTGGAACTCACCATCATGAAGTCTATTTGGGGCTTATGCAGAGGAGTGGGTTGTTAGGTGGGGGGTTTTGTTCAGTTTTAACCCATGCATTCTTACAGGTCTGTGATTAGAAACATAAAACTGACATATTCCTGTGGGGTTTTTTGTTTGTTTTTGTGTCTGTGTGTGCAGAGATTATGAAAGACTTCCATCCTGTAAAAAGTCAGACCCGTTGTCTCCAATCAAAGATAACATTCAGCTCACTCCAGAAACAGAGGAAGAAATCTTCAATCATCTTGAACGTAGTCATATTCAGAGAGCTATTTTCCAATGAACTGTGTGCAGCTATTGGAACAATAGGCTGTATTTTAATCAGTATCAAAATTTACCTTCCGTATCTCTCATCAGTGTAGAAAAGATGCTTTGAAAATCACCTGTATATTTTAGACTGACTTATTTGTCTCTTTTTTATGAAACTGTGAACCAAAAGTACAGTTTTGTATGACCTGGAATAAAAACCTTCTGATGCCTGCATTCTCTCATTCCAAGTCCTATACTAATCTTCTATCCAAACTTTTTTCTAAGTTGCTCCTGGCAGTTTTATTTGTGAAACAACTTTCATTAAAATGGCTTTGCCTTTGCATAACAACACTAAAATAAGTTTTTAAAATATTTTAACTGTTAAGGAGTTATCAAGTCCAAGAGGAGGGGAAAAAAAGGGGCAGGAAAATGATCTTCTGTCTCCGAGACCATCTCCAACACACAAGAAAAACTGTAGGTGGCTCTTCCTGTCTTCATTATTCTTCCTGCACTTTTGTAACATTTTAATTTTTTAAGGTAAGATCCTAGATGATCTCTAGAGGTCCCTTCCAACCCTAAGCATTCTATGATTCTATGATTCTCTCTCAACCGCTAGCTTTCTATTTTCTTCTACAGGGCACAAGCATAAAAAAAATAGAGGAGGAAAAAAGAAGTCCTGGGAGAGGGAGACTTTGGACATGAAGAGAGAGAGTTTAGTTAGAAAGCAGGAATTTTAAAGTGGGAGGTTATGAGGGTATGTGGAATGAGTGGGTAGGAAGGAAACAACACCCTTGGGCATATCTCTGTTCTTTCAGCAGAACATGCTTTTTAATATTCTAATTCTGTGCATATGTTAATAGATAATAATGCATATAATTAATATTCTATCAATAGGATTTTAAAGAGTTCTTACAAGACAGATGGTATTATATAATAGCTTGTTATTAAAATTATGAATCTAGCCTGGAAAAGTTGATTCTACTAACAGTGATCTAATCTATAAATATTCTAATCTATAAATATTCTACAAATATTCAGAAGCAGAGAATGAGTATCAGTCTCTAATCACCGAAATCAAGTGGTGTTCTTGAAAGCAGGTAAGTAATTTGCCCAAATTCCACTGAGTCCTACTTGAATCTTGGCTCTCATTACAGCAAGCTGATACTATGCTTATTCCTCTCTTGTGCATCAATGTAGTTGTACAGGGCTTTGCGAATAGGTTGTAAATAGTCATATTTCAAAAAGAGCGTTTTTTATGCAATTTGCAGTGTTGTGGATTTTTAAGATATTAGCTGATAATGTTTCTTTGAGGTATCAGGAGACCATGGTATTCAGGTTTTATATAGCAATTAGTGGGGTTTGGAGTTTTTTGTTAACAAAAGGTCGCTGGATTCTGAGGTTCTGAAGCTCTGGGACAGTTCTTTGTTCACTGACATTAAAGATCAGCTACCATCTCCTTTTTCATTACATGGCATTCTTATCAGTATAGCTATATATTATATATATATTTATACATATATTTGTTTTTGGTTTTATTTCTGTGGTGGTTTTTTGTCCTTCTGTCTTTGTATGATGATTTCTTCTAGAGTGCTTTTGTGTAGAAGCGATAGAGTACTAAATTTAAAATCATTGGTGGAGGAGGGAGGAAAAGGAGGGAAATCTCTCTCTGAACAGTAGAGGTCACTTTATACCGATGAGAGACTTGCATTTGGCTGCAGTAACCTAGAATTTGTCTGGAAATGACTATCCTATAGCTGCCCTGTGGCCTTTTTCGTTGTTGAGTACGTTTGAGTATTGAAATGAAGTGAGGGAGTGTCAGAAGGTTTCATTAGATTTGGATAAATATTGCAGAAGTATGGTTTCAAGAGACTTCCAAAGAGCTTTAAAGTGGTGGCAAGAGATGGAGAGAAGGAAGGAAGGAAGTGAAGCTTAAAACAATCCCTGAATTTGTTATCTCGAAAGCACTATGTGACTTCAGTTATAGCTTGTACTCCTCTTGAATTGCCACGTTTCTTGCCAAGGTGGATAGATCTAAGTTCCCATAAAGAACAACTTTCACAAATATATGCCTCAGTGATCTCTCTTGTAAAATCTTGGTGATTTGCTTTAGAAATTAAGGATTTGACACAAGGTGGAAAAAATAAGTCATGTCTAAAGTCCTGGGAAACAACTCCAGGTGATGAGATGCTAGATAGAGGCCTCCATCTTATTTTCTCAGTGACATTTGGCAAGTTGCACCTACTTTCTCATCCATGTGGCACAGAGCATCTCAAAGCTATCGCCCAGCGTGGGCAGGGAGCGCAATGCAGGGCAGAGCGTGCGTCAAAGTAGTCCTGGGTAGTGAAAACTTAAAGGCAACAGGGACGAGACAAGGAAAGCTGTGAGAGCAGAATTTGCCTCAAAGAAAACAGTAAAGGAGAGTTGGTACCAAAATATAAACTGCTCTGTGGAGTTGGGTTGAGATAGTGTTGGAAATCAGATGGTGGTTAAATTCTTCCAGGCTTGGGTAGATAAATCTCTGAATACTTCTGAGGAATTGCTTAAGACTTCTGCTTCTCTTCAGACAGCCTGTTTGGTATTTGCTTTGAGTGAAAGACATGCTTGTGAAAGGATTGCCCCTCTTTACCTGTTTGCACAGCAAGGCCATAAGCGTAGGTAGCATTCCTATGCTACTAATGACGGAGGAATATTTAGTAAATATTTTTTATTTATATTGCAAATTTTGTCTTTCGGTAACATTCCATTAGAGATGCAGGAGCTCCATTCTTAAGAGGTATTTAAAAGTCTGAGCCTTTTGTATGGAGAATGCCATACACTCTTCACATTTGCAGAATTCATAATCTCGGCATGGAATAAATTTTGCTAGGCTTTGCAAGAATATCAGTTAAATTAATTTCAGGTGCAATGATTGGCACCTATTAAAAATGATTGGGACAGTTCTTCTGTGTCCTGCATAGCTTCTATAATGTAATAGATGTACATTTACAACTGTCTGTATGAAATTGGGTGCTTTATGGATACTCTGTTTCCAAGTGCCTTTTTTATGATTTCTGATCATCCAGGATAAGTCCTTAAATTTATTTTCTTTGCAGAGGGAAGAATAACATTCTGTGGTGAATAACGAGCGTTACACCCTGTTGGAACAGGATCTCTTCCTTGATTTTTCATTGTTGGGTTCAGCTTATGGGTTCCCGCAGTAGACAGCTCAAAATTACTGTTGTTCTCTAATTCTTTTCAGTTGAAACTAGGACTATACATATTTCCCTGCTTCATTTAGGAGGCTGTAGGAAACATTAGGTCAGTAGAATGGCAATGCTTATCATGGAAGCTTTCCCTGTGCAAAGGATTATTTTCTGTTCTAACAGCTCATATTCTCCCCAGACTCTAGTGCTTCAGGCAAAATTTTACTCCTAACAGATGTAAAATTCTGGATTTGGAACATGACACATGTCTATGTGAGGTCCTGTTTTGGGGAGGCTTTTTAAATTCCTTTTACTTTGGGTGTTAAAATTATACCTATGAACAGGAGCACTCTAAATGGTTTGAGACACATGGAGAGTGTGCTGCTAAAGATGGATAAGACTGGAAAGATTAGAAGTTTTATTCTTTGTTTCAATTCAAATAAATAAGAGAGGAGTTAGGAACTGCTCTAAATTCCTGCAGCATTTTCTTTAACTGGTTTCAAGTCCAGTATCTGAGGAAGAACCAGAGTTTATTTTTCAAAAAACATAAAGTAGTTTAAGGACTCCCAGTGATGGAGCATTCATTGCAACACTGGCAATAGCACAACTGCTCAAATGACTCTCTAGTTTTAAGCCTAGTTTGTCTTTCATCCGATGGCTTGTGTTATTTCTTTGCTATATTAAATGTCTGCCCTACAATATTAAAAAAAAAAACAAAAAAACACTGTGACTATTTTTTTTTGTTGTTTAGCTCATACTAACTGGATTTAATAATACAATTAACAAGTATTTCTTTCTTTTGGCAGTTCTTCACAGCTGAAAATAGATTAGAGACTATTGTTTGGCCTTTTCAGATACTTTTAGAAGGTGTCAGTACCTCCATGGTAGCAAGAGAAAAAACCATGGCTCACCTCCTCCTACAGTACATCTTTTATGAGTTTGTTTATGTTTATTTAAAAGTAGAAACAAACAAACAAACCCACAACTTGTCCTTTAGTTTTTCACTGTAAATTTTCACATTGGTTCAAAGCTGGTTACATGTGAGATTAATTCATCAATTCTTCTTATGCAGACTGCTATATTTAGTGACTGTTATTGGCAAATAAAATTCTATTTTTTTCATTTTCTAAGTAAACTTTCCAACAATTTAAAATATTTTGTTACCACATTCTTACTAGAAGCTTAGCTAGCAGTTTGCAAAGAACAGTTAAGAAATTTAAGTCAGTAGAAGCTGAAAAGTTGGATTTTACTTGAAAATACATGTGATGTGATCATATTTTTAGAGAGCTTTTAAATTTAGGACCAACTAGAATATTTAAATATTTCCAGGAAATCTAGAAAGCCAGAGCTGTGTGTATGGTAGGGATTTTTTTTGTTTTTGTTTGTTTGTCTTTTTTTTTTTTCTTCTTCTTCTTTCTTGCAGGTTTGCACTTAACAGGTAGGGCACTATGATACTTTAAAAAAAATCTGTGCCATGTAATTTGTTTTGTTTTTGTTTGTTTTGTTTAGTTTCCTTATTTTTAGGTAAGATGGTAAGTAGAGGATTTCCTTTCCTAATAATCCAGGCTGAGAAATGCAAATAGTATATGGAGATAATAAATTACCTTTTAACGGTACTTAGGAGTTAATTATTCAGGTTGTCATTTTTCAGCATGGCCTAGGACATTTTTTCAGAAATACTTACCCAAACGCTTGCTGCTGCTCTTCAAAGTGGGTAAATTAGAAGAGTTTTGTGCACCAGCATCTTCAAGTCAGTCGCGTGTCTACTGAAGTTTGTCGTCTGTGCAAACTACTTCATTGCCTGCACTTCACTCTGCAATTTGTGTGGTGGGAATAGGAAATGTTTCAGTTG